GCACATACGTACCATATTGGGTTTGCTCAATGCTTCACTTTCAAGACAAGACTAGACTAATGAAAATGACAAAAATGTGTTGTAAGTGAATAGTACTAGGATTGACTTTTTAGAGTAAAAATGTGGTTTTTCGTTAAAATGAACAGTATATGTGGAGCCAAAAATAATCAAGAGACGACACGTGAATTTTTCGGCATAAAGGACAAAATTACCCTTGAGGAGCGCTGGAATTCTCACGCATAAGTAGTGGACAATCATCCACAATCAAGTCAAAAGTGCTCAAAATAGGTATTTATTCGAAACCTATTTCATCCATCTTCTCCACAAGGTAACCCCCAAAACATTCCTTTTAAATTATGTTAATTAGTTAATTACTAGATTTATTACCTAATTAATCTATTAATGGCTAATTAAACTACCAATTAACTACAAAATACACTCAAAAACACCACAAAGGGCCGGCCACCTTCTCCCCCAATGAGGCCTGCCATGCCCTATACATACTACCCAATTTTCTCTAAAAACCGAGGTCTACACTCTTGCTAAATACTCAAAATTTTCCAAACACTCTTCTCTCAAAATTTTAACTTTGGCATCGGAGGTTCTTCAGCCAAAGCCCTCCTCATTCATCGTGGGTGCGTGAGGCTATTGACCTTGACCTAAGGTGTTATTTGTTTTGTAAGTGCAATTTTGTCCAATAACAAGAAGGAAGAAATTTGCATCCACAAATTGGTGCTTTCATTGAGAGTTGAGTTCTACATTCGTAGAAAACTCTCGCATCCAAGGTTTTCTATTTTCTTGTCCATTTGTATATTTTTCGTACTTTCTTTTTATTAGATTTTTTTATTTGCATAAAGAAGTACAATGGCTAGAATTTAGAAATTTCAACAAATGAAAATTTCAACATTCAAGAGATGGGACCACGACGATCCACGAGGCTAAATGTGACAATAGGTGGAGCGGCACTACCACCACGAGTTTCCATCACAGGAATCACTGAGTGTGTGTAGCCACTCACGGTGAGGTCCATGGTGTCACTACCACAGCCCGAGCCATGCCATCCAAGACGGCTCACGACACTAAGGCCACGGCCCAAGACTCACACCCGCTTGCATCATACGCCGAGCAGCCTACTCCCGTGGCTCAGCCTTCTCCCATGGCCCAACTTGCTCCCGTGGCCCAGCCTGCTCCCATGGCCCAGCCTGCTCTTACTGCCCAGCCTGCTTCAGCGGCATTCCAAGCAGCCCAAATCGCCCTAAGACTATCTCAACCATCAGGACCAACCATCGAGCCGGGGGCATTTTCACCACGTTTCTACGCAGATTTGACATTTCCTAATTCAAATCTAACGCCCGAAGCCTACCATACTTCCACTGCTCAATGAGGCATATTCCTTCCAAGCTTTTCCAATCTAAATTGTGAACAACACTTGTCTCGACAAGTCATAGAGTTGACGAGCACCCTTGCACAACAGGCAACCTTGGTGAATCAACTCTTGCAACACACTGAGATCCAACATACCCCGAACAAGGTGTCCCGAAGAAGGAAAAAGGCAAACAAACCTCTTTACTAGCATCCCGGCAAGCAGCCACTTAACTAGTCACGAACCGAGCTTTCTAACGGATTACACTCCATACTAGAGCCCTGAGATAGCGTATACTCACATCTTAGCGCGTGGAGGAGTGTTTACTCTTAGTTAGGCCCACAGAAAAACATACACTCACGGTTGGGGCCACACTCCGATAATCAACATAAGCAACCTTCTAGGCGAAGTGTTCATTCGCGACAAGGCCCGTAAGAAACATCATTCACCTCACATCGGAGTAGGCAACATAGCGGATGGAAAGAAGCAGTCACTCAATCCAGCTCAAGTTCAACCAGCAGCCTGTGTGTTACCCGCTCGCCTGCTAAGAATATACCCACACCCACTGCAGCCGCGACATAGACTAGCCGAACACATGGAATAGCAGCCTAGACCAGCAGGTCATGATCGGGGGTAGCCGAGAGCTTTGCCACCCCCAACAAAGGTAAATTCAAGAAGAAGTAGAAAGGCTCATGACCTAGCGATTGTGCGATTTCCCACGTAACGAAGCTATTGACAAAGTACTTTGATGAGACATGACCAACATAAACAAGTCATCTTTCAATGACAAGATCGAGCATACGGGACTACCCCACATAGATTGCCGGATATAAAGACTACTTCTGTTCCGACAAACGCAGCAGCTCAGCCTAATGGCATGCCGATGGCAGACGAGTACCAGAAGGACACATCAGCCCAACTACCAAGAACCGGGGGCAGACCTTGTTCTCAACACTCCAGACAATTCCTCATGCTGCGCACAACCTGGCCCAAACCAGCCCCATCTCTGCTTTCACAGCCGTGCCTATCTGCTTCACGGCTTCTGATAGCCATTGATTTATCACAATGGCTCATAACTATACCAATCTTGCACCATGGCTCCCAGCCATGCCGATTTTGCCATGTGGCTCATGCGAACCAAGCCTCAAAAGGGCACACGACGAAATACCTAATGATGGCACAATAATTCTGGGAGCTCACTGCGCTTACACCCTTATGCGGGGTTTACAAGCAGATCCCCAAACATGACCTCACATGCTAAGAATTATTTTGATTGTCCCAACAGTCTAGCTTTCCTCAGATGCACTCATGACAACGACTTTCATGCTCTCCAGTGCGAGAGGGTAAACTAATTGTTCTCTAGTGTGAGAGGGTAAACTAATTGCACTCCAGTATGAAAGGGTAAACCAATTCCCCAACACCCGTATAGGTCTGCTCTCCAGTGCAAGAGGATAAACTAATTGCTCTCCAGTGCGAGAAGGTAAACCAATTCCCCAACACCTATATGAGTTTGCTCTCCAGTGCAAGATAGTAAACTAATTGTTCTCCAGTGCAAGATGGTAAACTAATTCTCTGACACCCATCTGGGTAAGCTCTCTAGTACGAGAATACCACATAGCTTAAAAGATCGAATGCTTGAAGATCAACTAGGCAGAAAATGGTCAGGGGTAGCAGCCACTTTTGCACTTAACAGTTCGCTCATCTAACACTTCATCTTCAGCAACTCCGATCTTGGTAGCTCCATCCTTGACTGCTCCACCTACGGCAGCTGAGAAATCAAACTTAAGCAGTTTCTTCATTTTTGGTAAGCAGCCCAAACGTGGCAGCCCAAACCGTTGCCTATACCACGCCACTTCCTTGGCCCATGTCGAGCCAATCTTTGGCTTCAATCAAGTTAAGCAGCACAAACAAAAACCCATGCCACACCATTTCCTTGGCCCATGCTAAGCCAACTCCTGGCCCCTGCGAGCCAATATGCTGCACCACCTCCACAGCTGCCCCGTGGCAGCACATCCTAAGAAGAAGACAATGAGAATTAAGTTTTTCTTACATCAGTGCGGCGTGAAGAAGACAAAGAAATCAATGGAAGACGGTTCTTTGCACGGGCAAGCAAAGAAGACCGGTAAGGGAGGGGGAACAAATATCCTTTATCTTTCTCTCTTTCTTGTAAGGATAAATAATTACCCTTCGAAGTTGATTTAATCCCCTACTTAAGGTAGGCTTAAATAGGCTTTGGATGTGATTTATTTCCCTTTCCTAGAAGAATCTAATTCCAAGTCCAAGAGAGAATCTGCATCAAAAGTTGAAGATCTCTACACCTGCTGCCCTTTCCTGCGAGCCGCTCAACATGTGTGGGGACATTTGTGAAGCCAAAAATAATCAAGAGACGACACGTGGATTTTTTGGCATAAAGGATAAAATTACCCTTGAGGAGCACCAGAATTCCTATGCGAGGGTAGTGGACAATTATCCCACAATCAAGTCAAAAGTGCCCAAAATAGGTATTTATTCAAAACCTATTTCATCCATTTTCTCCACAAGGTAACCCCCAAAACATTCCTTTTAAATTATGTTAATTAGCTAATTAATAGATTTATTACCTAATTAATCTATTAATGACTAATTAAACTACCAATTAACTACAAAATACACTAAAAACACCACAAAGGGCCGTCCACCTTCTCCCCCAAGGAGGCCTCTCCCCCAAGGAGGCCTGCTATGCCCTATATTTACTACCCCATTTTCTCTAAAAATCGAAGTTTACACTCTTGCTAAATACTCAAAATTCTAATTTTGGTATCGAATGTTATTCGACCAAAGGCCCCTCCCATTCATCGTGAGTGCGTGAGGCTCTTGGCCTTGATCTAAAATGTTATTTGTTTTGTAGGTGTGATTTTGTTCTAGAACAAGAGGAAGAAATTTGTATCCATAGTATCGATAATTTTTCTTTAAAATTCACATATTATTAGTGTGTTTGTCCTAAATGTATGGATCATGGTGGTGCCCCAAAATGTCAGAAAACTATGTTTACTAGTATCTAGTGAGAAAACTACAGCCTATATCCTTGTCGGTAATAAAAAAATTATGCTTATCATTGTTACCAAGGTGTCATGCTAAAAGTTAACAATGGTTAACTTAATAGTTGGACGAATCAAAAGTGTTAATGATGAAACAATTTGCAACATGCGTGTTTCTGCCTGCTACTAGAAGATAAGGGCTAAATTGTTACACAATATAATAATATATAATCAGTTTCTTTTTGGCTTATTTTTCGTAATTTCCAAACTCAAACTTAATCTTAATTTTCTTGTAAAACAAAAAGAACCGTCATTTTACATTCTAAAACTCAAAATTTTCTTTATTTTGGCTTTTTTTATTTGTCTATTCAGTCAAATTTATTAATGTGACGTTCATGTAGGCAATAAAAATATGAACTATCTCAGCTCTAGAATTAACATGAATACGACACAAATATAAATGATTAAGCTTAAACACAATACAATGAAACCCGAACAAGATCCATTGTCACCCGACTAACTAATCATGGCAACGTGAAGCACACTACTAGTTGACAGTTCTGTAGAATCTGATCTGTACAGTGAGTTGCACCCAAATCTTTTCTCCTATTTCTCTCTTGTCAACCAAAACACCCTCCTGTTGTCAGAGTCAGTGGCAGTCCATCTTAACCTGCCGACACGTCCCCAGTAGCCCGCAAAACCTCCAAACATATACAGACAAACCAAAACGCACCCCACGCACCGGCGCACATTAGCACCAGGCACTGATGACTCAACGAGACAGAGACATTACATACCCTTAGTGTTGAAGACTGTGGACTGTGAAGGCGACCTGGTCTCACTGAGTCACCGAGTCTCGCGCCGAGCCCTAACCAGTTCAAATTTTGTAAAAGCGGGATTAGGGTTTTGATTTTCATTCCCCTTTTCCAGTTTTTTATTTTAGTTAAGTTTCTTCTGGGTTATTCACAAATGGGGAGGCCAAGGTGCTACTTGGACATATCCATTGGAGGAGAGCTAGAAGGAAGAGTAGTGGTGGAGCTCTACAATGACATTGTCCCCAAAACAGCTGAGAATTTCAGAGCTCTCTGCACTGGTGAGTTGGGCATTGCCCCCCACACCAATGCTCCTCTGCACTACAAGGTCTCTCTCTCCCTCTCTCTCTCTTCAAAAGATTCAATTTTTGTTTTTGGGTTTTTGTTTTCTCATTGTTACATTGTTGGGTTTTGTGTTTTTTCACCGTTTAATTGCTGGGTTTTTGTTTAATTTATGTGTGCATTTGCAAGAATGTCCAATCTTGTCAATGGGGTTGAGTTGCAATAAGAATTGCATTGCATTTGGTTGTAGGGTGTTTGTTTCCACCGCGTTATCAAAGGCTTTATGATTCAAGGTGGAGACATTTCGGCTGGAAATGGCAGTGGGGGAGAGTCGATTTACGGGTTGAAGTTTGAAGATGAAAACTTCGATATAAAGCATGAGAGAAAAGGAATGTTGTCCATGGCTAATAAAGGCCCTGACACCAATGGTTCTCAGTTTTTCATTACCACCACTCGGACTTCTCATCTTGATGGAAAGCATGTTGCGTTTGGGAAGGTCATCAAGGGCATGGGTGTGGTTCGTTCAGTTGAGCATGTGAACACGAAGGATGGAGACTTACCTATCCAGGAAGTCGTTATTGCGGATTGTGGGCAGCTTCCTGAGGGAGCAGATGATGGGGTGTGTAACTTCTTCAAAGATGGTGATGTTTATCCTGATTGGACTGCTGATCTTGATACAAAACCAGAGGACATTTCTTGGTGGGTCACGGCTGTGGACACTATTAAGGCCATTGGAAACGAACAGTTCAAGGTAATGAGATATCTAATTTAATATCACAACTATGGTAAATCATGTCATACATTTCATTCACTAATACCAATAGCATGATTTTTAATCTTTATACAGAAGCAAGACTATAAGATGGCCCTTAGAAAGTATCGCAAGGCCTTGCGCTATGTGGATATATGCTGGGAGCTGGAAGAAATAGATGAAGGTAAGCCAGTTGCTTTGCACTAGAGAGTGTCCCTTACTTTCTTTGATCATCTTACGACTTTATCTTTGTGATTAAACAGAGACGAGCTCCTCTTTGCGGAAGACAAAGTCCCAGATACTTACTAATAGCTCAGTAAGAATTTTCATTTATCAAATTTGAAAGCACCTGAATTTAAATGAAATTCTCTAGGAAACCCTTTTGAAATGAAAACAAAATTACTTGTCTGGGACTCTGGACAAGTAAACCAATTTCAGTTAAGTAGTGCAAATGACAATTTGCTGAACTATCGTTATGGCGAAAGTTTACATTTATCAGTGGTAGTGATTGACATAGAAATTGTATAACAGTAACTTAATCATACTTAAATTAAGCCTGTTGGACAAAATGAAAAGTACTGTTACTTCTGAGTTTCTGTGAAGAGTCCATGAGATGAGTGATACCTAAAATACAACTATGAATATAGTAGTTGGGCCTGCTCTTTTCAATGTTAATACTTCTCTGAAGACTAACTTGATTATACTCAGGAGTATTCTGTATTCTTTTGTGATACATTTTTTAACTGTCATCAACCAAAAAGAAATATATATCCCTTTATTCAATTGATAGATAGATGAGTTTTCTGTTCAGGCTTGCAGGTTGAAATTAGGAGACCTAGAAGGAGCATTGTTGGACACAGACTTTGCATTGCGTGATTGGGAAGATAATGTGAAGGCTTTGTTTCGCCAAGGCCAGGTAATAATCTTTAATTGGCAAGAATTCATAATGCCCTCTGGCTGCTGTTTATGATCTAACTTTTGTGCATCTTGCTGGCTGCAGACCTATATGGCACTCAATGACATCGACGCTGCTGTCGAAAGCTTCAAGAAGGCACTGGATTTGGAACCAAATGATGGTCAGTGGGGTTACATAATTTACCTAACTTCATACTGGAAAATAGGCTCTTTTATGAACTAGGTTATTCTTTCTTTTAATTGGTAATGTTTGCCAAGGTTGGGCTTCCTGAGATCAGAGAGCTGTTACATTATTGCTGTGCCAATCTTGAAGTGCTTTATATTATTGTCTTTCAGATTTGTAGTTAAAGTAAAGTTGCATATTTTTTCCCAAACTGCAAATCAAATTTTGTGCGAACCTCAATGTACATTAACTCGACTGTGGTTGGTTTGTGACTAGCTGCTGCAAATAATCAAACCCCTATGCTTTCATAGTTGATTTCCTAGACCAACTATACATTATACAATCAATGATAGCTTCCTGACCTTTCATGATTTTATTTTGTTCAGGAGGAATAAAGAAAGAGCTTTTGGTTGCTAAAAAGAAGGTTAGTGAGCTTCATGTGTTCTATATTTTTTCGCCAAACAATGGATGCTTGCTTTGTTTCCTTCCCTTTTCTATAAGATTTGAAAGTAAAAAATTTGCACAGGTTGCGAATAGGTCTGAGCAAGAAAAGAAAGCATATTCTAGAATGTTTCACTGATTATGCAGTCACATGGTAAGTTTGTTTCTATCAGTATTGCTTTGTTACCAACCAATTTTGGGGCTGAATGTTTGTTCATGCTATGCACAGAGGCTGCACATAGTACGGATAAATTTTGATTCCTTCTGCACTGTCAACTGGTTTAAAGCTATTCTGTTAAAACTCTTAGTTGGCCCCGAGGATATCTCAGGTACCATCAATCTTTTACCCTTTTGTCATATTGTAAATGGCCAGACTCTTGTAGGCAACGTTGTTTGTTTGTGGTATTCCCGATGGGATACCTATGTCCTTCTGAAAGATTATTAACTTTCTTTTGTGATCTTATCGATCTGATCATTGGTTGGTTTTTGTAGTTGTAACAGTAATGATTAAACTCCATTTTGAAATGCTCTAAAAAAAACCCAATTTGAAATAGCTTAATATCTTTGCTCAACTTTTAATGGAGCTTGCTCCTTTTTCAGGCCCTGTAGAAAGGCCAAGACAACTAGCAGAAGACTTGAGGGAAAATCAGAATACTCTAGCTTAAATCAAATTTTGTTCCAACTGCATTCGCCTTTTGTTAGACTAGCACATACGACTTTATTGCTGTTCGAAACTTGATTGCTAGTCCCTGAATTCCTACGAAATCATCCAAACAGCCCTTTTATCCTTAAAAAAAATTGTCTCATTTTTTGCAATACAGATGGTTTGTTGTTTGCAGATAACTTTTTATTGTTGATGCTTCTAGATCTTCGGTTTCTCTGATTTGTCTTGGCCATTGCCTTGTTCTGAGCTTGAGGGAGTGTATTCTCTCTGGCGTTCACTTGGCCTCCCGTCCTGATTCTTGGATCTCCATTGTGTCCATCTCCACTTATACTTTCTTCTTCAATTTCCCTTTCTCTTGAAAATTTCTCCGAGAGTAATCTGTTCAATTTTTCCAAAGCTTTGTTTCTGCTTGCCTCTGTTGCAAGCTTCTGTTCTGATGCAACCAAAACACGCCAGTCTGAAAGAGAATTTTCATCTTGAGCTCTTTTTGCCAAGGCATGGTACTCTTCCTGAGTGAGGCGGACGGTGGTTTTCTCCATTTTTGAACAGTTTATGTATCTAAGTGCTACTGCTTTCGATGCACCAAGCGCGTCTTTTTCTATTCGTACAGCTTCAAGTCCAAGTTGCAGTGTTCGCAGAGTCTGTCTCCTCAGATGAAGGGCTTGCTTCAATCTTGATCTTGCTTGTAATTCTTCATCTGCATCGTACTTAAACCTTTCCGTCTCTTGACGCGTTTGATCCAACGCCTGATTTATTTCATTGACCATCCCCGTCGCCTTGTGTCGTTCCTCCTTTTTGGATTTGATGCTCTGGATTGTCGTCTCAAGCTGTGCTTCAAGGTTCGAGATGATACTGGGCGTGTCACATCGTTTCTCAGCAATTTCAAGGCCGCATTTCAGCAGCTCAAGCTCATCAGTCAGAGGCCTGGAGTCTATCCACGCCTGCATGGCGCTCTCTTTAGCTTTCTTGAGCTCCTCTTTGGTCTTAATCAGTTCCGCCATCTTAGACCCCACTTTGTCTTCACTTTCGTCCCACTCTTTCGATTTGTAGGAGTAGCGTTTCGCTCTTTGCTCGTCGTACAACTCCATACGCTCTTCGCACTCGGGGGTTCAGAAACCCTGCCTGATCATTTGCCTCCGTTGTTTGCTTATAACAACATTTTCCATGTTTTTGTTGTTTGTGATATCTGTTGCTTCTGCTTGTTTAAGCTGTGCATGTATTTGTCCGGCGGGAATTCCAATGTTTCAAAATTATAGATAGATTCAAAATTGACGTTCCTAGCTGTGCTTTGTTGTCACCGGGTCTTCGTCTGAAGAAATGTCCGATGCATTAGTTTTGCATGAAAGCCGTGCGGCACGTAGTGCTTGTAATGCCCGACCGCTAGATTACGTGTTCGTGTGGCAACACAAACAAGCGGATCGTCGTATGGTTTGTATACCGCCAGCTGTACACAAGAATCTCTCTTGTTTGTTGTACATGAGTGCCCTTTTATAACTTAGAATTGTTCTCCTACTTTACATCAACCACTAGCTAGGTCTTTCTTGATTTCCATTTTTATTGAATATTTTGTTTTAATTTAGGAAATTTTAGGAGATGGATATGAATCAGTGGTGGAGCCAAAATTCTTTGTAAGAGCGGACCTTTCATATTGTATTGAGAAAAATTTCGAATTCACAACATAAACAATCGAAGTGACTTCATAAAACTAATTAAAATAACCATTAAACTTAATAGAGAGAATCAAAAGAAGTGTATAATATAATTAAGTGAGAGGTAGAGAGCAGGAAACCAGTAAAATATTTGAAATTATAGGAAGAAAAATACAAAGAAATTTGATTTGAATTGTTTGACTAAGAGGAAGACTGCAAATAATAGTTGATAAGGTTGTTTTAGAAATAACATTAAAGTCGATTTTGAAACCCCATCGCTGAGTTTCATTAAACCATAAAGACAAAACAAACAAGTTACAAAATTGTTAGAAAAATGTAAGACACGATGTCATTTGACTCAGCTTCTTCATGAGGACCACCCATCTTCTTCCTCACGTCTCACGATTCTACAACTGCAGACTTGAAACTGCTAGAAATTTCTTACACAGTGGTCAAGATGGGACGGGAACCACCATGGTCCTTTAATGGCTCCACCCATGAATATGACAAGAAAAATAGTCTGTGTTTTATCCATCTGACCGATTTGGTCCATGTATTTTTAATTTAGTCAATTAAGTCACTGTTTAATTCAGTGCACCAATGTGCTCTTTCCCATCCAATTATTACTGAAAGTTTTACAAATTTATATGAAATTGATTAAAACAAATAAAAATTAAAGAAGAAGAAAATTAGAAAAAAAAAACTCACAACAAAAGATTGAAATCCTCCCGCCTCATACCTCACCATGAGGCTCCACTGTACACTCTAATCCCAACCACCACCACGACGATTACCCAACCAACCCAAGCCAACACCCCAACCGCCATTTCGACTAAAAAAAAAAAAAAAAAAAACCCAACCACCACGAATACCCCGAGCAGCCAACCATTCTACCTATCTTAAGAAATCTTCAAAACACTATTCCCCATCAGCCATCGAATTTCGTTTCGTTTCTCCATAGATACCTCATTGTTATCTCCATGGTTACGTCGTCCATACGTCGATCTCCACCTTCTGCTCCCATGCACGGGTGTTGACCCCATATGAGCCCTATCTTCGCACTCTCATCAGTCACCATCCTCCAACTATGTCAATGTTTCTTATTTATTTAAGGGAATATTTTTGAAATATCATATGAACTTATATATTTTTTAATTTGTTATATGAACTAAAATTTTAAGCGATTTGTCATTCTAACTTTCCAAAATTATTAATTTGTCATCTCCCGCTAACTCCGTTAAGCTTTCTTTCCAAAAATAGCCATGTGCCTCGCACGTGACTTATGTTTAGGGTTATTTTGGACATTTCAATATCTCACTGCCCTTTTTATAAGTTGTGTTCGACAAAAATAATTCTAAGGTTTCTAAAAAAAAATACAAAAAAGGGGGTTAAACCAGTATACAAGGATCTAAGAGTTTGCCGTTCGAAAAAAGAGAACGACATGCACTTGCTTTTCTGTATTTCGAAGTGACTTAAAAATATAGGGTCATTGAAGAACCTCTAGTCTATGGTAAAGCTGGATGATATTCTTATGTTAAAATGTCTTAAATAACCATGAACACAAGTTATGTGCAAAGCACTTGATTTATTTTAGATGGAAAATTTAATGGAGCTAGGGTTAAATGACAAATTAATGATTTCAAAAAGTTGGTATGAAAAATCGCTTAAAATTTTAGTTCATATGACAAATTGGTAAAAGTGCATAAGAAGACATTTCAAAAAATTTCCCTTTATTTAAATATCATTTTTTTAATTGAGCTTTTTTATATTTATTAAAGCCTTAAGGGGGCGTTTGTTGCATCGGACTATCTCGGACTGGACTAACTTCAGGGACTAAGCTGGACTGGCTTAGACTAGACTAAGCTGGACTGATTTAATGAAGTGTTTGATGCAGTGTCGGACTAAGAAGCTGAATAACTATTAAATTTAGATACTATATTTTGATCATACTTATTTCATAAAACCCAGATCACACTTATTTCAGATAACCCTCAATTAACATTTCAAAATTAATCAAGAAAATATGTAATAAATCATGTATAAACTTTATCAAATATAATCAAGTTTAAATACCAACTCAGACGATTCCAAAGATCTACCAAAATGTAAAATAAGAAATATAGACACCAAAAAATCAAACATCCAAAGATCAATGGCAGAACACCAGTAATCAAATGGCAGAACACCAGCAATCAAACAGACAAAGCATTTGTTAAAAAAAAAAAAAAAGAAGAAAAAAAGGAATCCCCAAAGATGAATCAGAAAGAATCCCCAAAGACTACAAGACGAATCTCCCTTCTCTTGCTGCAAGACGAATCCCAATTTGCAAGACGAATCCCAATTTGCAAGACGAATCTCTCCTCTCTCGCTTCAAGACGAATCTGCAATTTGCGTGACAACGAAGAAGAGTAGGGTGGTGGGGATGTCGGTGCAAAGAGGAGAGAAGCAGACTAGAGGTGAATTGAACAGCTGTCGGAGAAGAGGAGTGGGGTGGGTGGGGCTGTCGGTGCAAAGAGAAGACAAAAACAAACGAAGCATATGAAGAAGACGAAACGAAGCAGACGAAGTGAAGCGAGCGAAGCGAGAAGGGGCTTAGCAGTCCTCTCGTATTTGGGGGGTGTCGCTAAGACCTTCTAACGAAGGTGTTAGTCGGGACGAGTCCCACTTAATACCATTAAAGGTAATCCCTCCCTGTAACAAACACAAGACTAGACTGACTTTTAGTCCAGTCTAGTCTAGTGAGACTTAACGAAGGGAAACAAACACACCCTAAAAGTATTAATAATAATTTGAAATGAAATTCTAACCGTAAACTAACAGAATTAACCATATTTACTAACAGAGTAAAACACATTTTAACATTTAGGCCAATATTTTGTGGATGTATAAATAGGTGATACAAAGCCATTCGTCCAATTTCAAATTCATGTATCGTCCTTGAATTTTTTTCAATTTGATACAACAACTTATTATTTGGTACTAATGTCATACAACCGTCTCTTTTTCCGTCAATTTTTTTTTGTTAACTGCTACATGACTATAGCGGCGGGCCTCATCTACTGTCACGTGCACCACTCATTTAGGCCATCTCCAACCAAATGAGGGCCCTCCAAGAAATTAATATTTTAATGAACAGTGTAAATCCATATTTCTTACCATCTCTAACCAAGGGGCCAAAGGCCCATAGGCCAAACATAGCCCTATGATAAAAAACTATCTCCAACCGAGGTCAAAAATCTTCTCGTTTTAATCCTCTTTATTAAAGTTCATGAGGGTTTAACTCTTAATTAAAGACTCAATTTTTGTCGTCAACCGCATGACTGACTCATGGAGAATTTTCTGATGTTATTAGTTATTTCCCGTGTTTGGTTGGTGGGAGCCAACCCTTGTAATTAGTGTTTAATTGTAATTTTCTGACTGATCGCTATTTTCTTACCACAAAGGATTCTTTGTATACCTAGTCAACTCGTAATCTATATATATAGCCGAGAGAAAAATAGACATCAACGATTAAACTCTAAATTCAGTTTACCTAAAGTTAGGGGCATTTTGATATAAGTGTCTAAAATTTAATTTCTTTTAATCAAACATTTATAGCTTTAAAATTTTAATCAAACATTTTTCTACTGATTTTTAATTAAAAAGTTATGATATTTATTATATTTAATTTACCAATTAGTTCACAAATTAATATCACAAATCTCCTAAAACCACAACAAACATCCACAAAAGAGTTTCTTTTAGCTCATATATATATATATATATATATATATTTATTTGAATTCTCAAATACATAAAATATCCTATTAACATACATTTATGAGATATAGCATCCACATACAATAAATATAACGTACCAATCATTTAGTACGTTATTGGTACGTTATATAAATTTCATTTGGGTAAGTATTAGTATTTTGGTAAGTTATAAAATAGGGTAAAAGACTGTTTACTACCCTCATGTTTCATGGTTTTCAACATTTAGTACATCAAGTTTTTTTCGTTTCAGAGTCATACCTAAAGTGTAAATTTTGGGACAGTCTCATACATCCGTTAGTCAAACTGTTAAATTTGCCGTTAATTGTGACGTGGCACCCATGTGGACAATGACTGGGCGCCACGTGTCAGCCACGTTTTTTTTTCTTTCTTTTTTTGTTTTTCTTCTTCTTTTCTTCTTCTTCTTCTTCTTCTTCTTCTTCTTCTTCTTCTTCTTCTTCTTCTTCTTCTTCTTCTTCTTCTTCTTCTTCTTCTTCTTCTTCTTCTTCTTCTTCTTCTTCTCTTCTTCTTCTTCTTCTTCTTCCACCAGGAGGAAGGAGGAAGGAAGAAGGAAGAAGGAAGAAGAAGAAGAAGAAGGAAGAAGAAGGAAGAAGAAGGAAGGAAGGAAAAAAAGTTGCAGTTGGAGCTTCTTCTTCTTCTTCTTCTTCTTCTTCTTCCACCAG